GAACACTTCACTGAGACTGACAGGTCTCCGTATGCTATCTTTTCAACTGACGAACCAAAATAAAATATGGTTGGCATCCGTACTGAATGTTAACATACTCGCTATATATAGCCCGTAGATACTTGTGAACAGTGTAAAGAAAAGTCGCACGGAAATCGTATTCAGTTTCACCGGACGGCTTGCGGCAAATGTATGCAAGGCTTCAGTTAGGAGAATTCTTGTTCATCTGTTATTGATCATTATTGGTGATAGACCCTCGTGAGGTTTAAGCCAATTTCCACTTTTTAGCACTAAGGTGTCTTTAGTAGCCGTCGCTGGTTATCCAGCATGCCAGTAAGATGCCCTTGGTGTCACGTAACTAAACATCGGGCAAATATGGCCCGCTTACCTCACATAAAATAATTTGTTATTAAATTTAATTTGTTTTAAGGGTCCTGACAGGCCGTGAGTGGTTTGAGAGCTCTCCCTGGGCGTTCTATTTACACTGTATGTCAGCAGGTAAGTGATCCTGAGGCAATTATTCTAAATTCACATGTATAAGTTGATCTTGAAAATACCTTAAAGTTCTAACGTATGTTACGTTACCCCATTCCCAGAGATTAGATCGATCCAACTAGATCGACCTAACTCCCTGGGGGTTCACGCTAAATAGCTGTCAGCCGAGCGGGTACGAAAGTTAATTACCCCTTACAGCTTATAGTAGGCGGGAAGGACATTTAAGCCGGATTATCTGACAGTAATCTAGTGAGACTCCCCACGGGGATAGATCGATCTAAAATCTATGGGAATGCGCCCATAGTGATAAGACAATTTGTGGCTATCTGATGTGCATTTATATAAGTATAGTATATACAAGTATAAGATATCATTGTTTTCAGGATATTTTGCCTACGATTCTGTTGCTATGGCAATAAGTAAGGAACAAATAGGAAGTTTCGATATTTACGCGCATCATGTCTTGGTAAGCTCCTTCTTTTCTCTCTCCTTCTCTCTCTCTCTCTCTCTCAAATTCGTCACCTAATTAGACACTCGGCTACGTATTTATGTAATGAAAGTAGTACCTAATATGAGAAAAAAAAGACAGAAAGAGAAAAGGAAATCAGTAGATTCGTAAATAGTCTGAAAAGTTTACTTCTATAGGTTTTTTTCTTACATGACGGAGAGTGGGCCGTGTGATGCTACACAATTCTCAAGGACAACAGGAAAATAATTGCTCCAAGATATCACTATGAGTTCTTTTAACAATGTTAACCAAATGATAAATTAATTTTCTTTTTATACATGTATTGTTTGAGATGTAGATCAATTTTTTCTTTTATTCTAGTGTATCTTCTTCGTCACGGCTTCGCAGTTTCCCCCATGCGACCGAGTCACCTTCTATGTTCTTTGGGATTACTTGTGTGAGATAACCAACGTCTTTCTGCACGGAAGAAAACTTTTGGCGATGTTGGGGCGAAAAGAATCGACGTTGTACAAGAGGCTCAATATGTTATTTTTCGGTAGATATATTTCGATATTTTTAAGATGACTTTAAGATGGTTATATTAAGATGACTTGTGCAAGAAATTGCAGTTAAGTATCAGATAGTCGAAAGTCAGGTAAGGAATCGCAAGATGCTATTTTGGCATCAAATCGCTTTAATAGGTCGAGCGGCGTAGGCTACTTTATGGTCCGGACAGCTTTGAAATATTGACAATGCAACTTGTTATTTAAAGGGCCCCTTTGAAGGAGAAGCTGTAGTCAACAAGCTCAGTTTATATAATTGTAACACTGGGAAACTGATTCGTGGAGAACTTGTGAAAGGGGGTAAAAATCCCTCTGTGGCGTATTTTCGATTAAGGGTCTCTTGAAGTGGACCGGTCCAGTTGCGAAAAAGGCCTTAAAGGCTCTGCGTCAAGCCACTTGATATCCAGATAATGACTTCAGTATTTCGTCGACTCGACAAATATATTAGAGAATTTATCGAAAAGTTGCTTAAAATGTAAAATATGCCTCACGTTTATTATACACTTTTTTCCAAATGTCGCATATGAATTGTTTATCCTTTCTGTTTGGATTTCCAAAGAAATTGTTTGTATACGTTGTGGCAAATTTTGGTCATATTCCATTCAAAATTTAAATTATCCTTAATACTTTATCGTTTTCATTTCCAGTTACGTTCTTCATCTTCCGCTTCTTCCCTCAACTCCTCGTCTTTGTGATGATGAACGTTGACGTGTGGTACACTGGCCAACTGCCGATGATTTGTTACGTCAGCGTCATCCCGCAGCAAACAATCGTGCTTCTGATTGGAGCAAATATCGCATATCAAATATTGAAAAGGTCAAAACGTGACCCCAAGAAAGTGACCTCTGATTGACCAGTGAATGGGAACAGTATGAATCGTGCCCACAAGAGATAACATGATATAATCGAAGGATAACTGATAAATGCGTCAATAAATATACACAACGCTACTTTGGTTGAAAAGACGTTTATAGCCTATATATTTATTTTCTAATTCGTTTACAAATCTATGCGGTCGACTTGTACCATTATTTCAATTTATTTTTCTTCTCAGTGTTTCTGTGTAAGGACTAGACATGAACAAGTACATGCGGGTGACTGATGAAAAACGACACGTAGTTGTGATTTGGTAACCTACTCGGCTGATTTTCTTTCGAACTGTTGAACAATTTCTGAAAAATCCACAAAAAAACTTTTTTGTTTTTTTGAGTTTCTTTAATTCACAGCAGTTTTGCTAGCATCCACAACTTTTGTATACTGGATGTAAAATTGTGTAGTGACAAGATATGTGGTGACAGGTGAATACCAACACGGCATTGCGAGTCTAAAAGGAACGTGTTACATTTATATTGAATATCCATTTATGGTTTAATAACGTTTTGCATTGGTTTATAGACATGGTACTGTTGGATTGCATGAATAATTTTAAAGTCACACCCCCACACACAAAGAGAGAGAGAGAGGGAGCTGATATAACAAAAATATAAGGACGATGACATAAGAAGAGGAATTCCTTTATTTATCCATGCTTCAGTCGTTGACAACAGACACCATATCTCATTCCTTCAAAAGAAAATGTGCATCGTGCATCTCTTAAATAGAGTAACTCTATTTACTTTTTGTCCATCTCTGCTTTGTTTTTAACACATTACTACCTCTGGCATCTCTAATTTTTTTTTTATTTCACGGTCCAAAAACCTGCTTTCAAGACAATGGGTCAAACGGTTTTCTGCTTATTGTTTAATCTCTGAAGAAATGCACAGTGACGACGGTGCACTGTGACTGCCAGTGCTATAAGAGGTTGTCTTGCAAAAGTTCTCTCTCATTGGCTAAAAATTCACGAATCAAAGCCTCGATATTTTCTTCACTGCGAGCCATATGTTTCTCCATGGACAACTGAAAATCTTCCTTCACTCCTTTGTTGACACCCCTTGTAACTGTTCGTTGCCTCGAAAAGAAAACTGAATAAATTAAGACAGTTGAGAGGGATTCGATAAAGTTCATTCTGATTTTGAAAATAACGCATATTATTTTGGTATCTCTTGTCACATAGGTGCGGGAAAATAAACTTTGGTTGATAATGTCGTTTACCAGTGATATGTAGTATCGGTCGAGCATTAATCAATTAGAACATCACTCTAAAATTATCTACCCCCGGTCCAACTCTTTAACATTAATGAGCTGAATCACCCGAAATATTGGTTCACTTCATATAAAAAACCTCGCAGAACGCCAAAACACAGCCCACGCACGTGAATGTCTAAACCACAAGCGGGGAAATCTCCCTAGCAAAACTGGGATGATTCAGAAGACCATGATGTATTTTTCATCTCTTTCCTAATTGCATAACAAGTACTAGTAATGCTGGAAATTCCGGCCGTAACGAAAGAGCTCTTCCAGCTCCTCAACCTACTGCACATGCGTCCAGGTGTCAGAATCTCCTCCGAGCGAAACCGAGATGTAATTACAGCTTTGGAAGTAACTCGCTCGCTCTGCTAGTAAATTACGCAGCGTGGTATTCAGGGCACAGACCGTGATCACTAGATACCGCCAATGGATTTTTGGATTTTTGGAATTTGGAGTTTTCATATGAACGGTGCCTTAGTAAGCAGACCAAAATGACCGTCTATCTATCTAAAGACATATCTGTGAATATCTGTAAAATATGTGAATATCTGTCTCCCTGGTAGAGGGTTCCCATTGATGGGGTGTTAGGGTAAGCTATAGGTTAATAATAACCCCGACGTTACTAGATTAAAGCTAGCATGTGACATGCAAGGGGAGTGTTGCGGGCATATTAAATGTATGGCGGAAGATGTACTTTATTTAGCTCTTAGTAAAACGCTCAAATTTTCACCTTTTATAGTTTTTTTTTTTTGACATTTTCATATTTAAAAAAAAATTAGTAATGAAAGTGGAAATTTTTATCTGAAATTGATTCATGCGTCTTACAATAATCATAGTGATATTCGTGTCCGCCCTTAGTACCAGAACAATCATTTAACTAGTGACCAGGAATATTTTAAAATTGATCATGAAGTACTAGTACCAATATGTGCTAATGGTTTATTTAGAATGCAAGATGGTCATAATGATTGAGTCCCTCTCCCCGCCCCCTTGAAGATTCTGAACATCCAGGCAGTGCTATGTTAATAGAGGATATCAAATATAACCCTTATCTGGGACAGAGTAATGGTGGACAGTTCTCACTAGACTGACCATACACTTAAGGCACTGTCACACCTAGCGTATAGCACTTACGTATGAAAAAAAGTGCCCATAAGCAGACCTTACGCCGTATACGTTTCGAGTACGCAGACACACGTGGTAGCACGTTCCAATATTCGGAGGGAGATAAAAAGTTTTGTGCATGTTCAAAAACAACTCCATATGCTGCTTTTGTCTTCATTCTAATTCGCAGGAAACAGTGATTCATACGCTCAAAAGTTGTGCGTATAATCGACGTCACTCACGCTACTCATGCGTAGCTACCCCTTTAAGTTAGGTGTGACTGGGCCTTCAGTGCACTGTTACTGATGAAGTCCCAAGTGTTAGGACGAAGGAGTTCACAGGTACGCTTTCAGTTAGTTTGGAAATGGAGCAGTTGAATTTAAATTTTCCTCAACATAAACATCATCTCTATATGCCGAGACAGATCAACTTCCGACAAACTGATGGGTATACTGTTTTCCATTTTTTCTTTATTTTCTTTACAGCTACGGTAGACCTATTCCCACACTTAATACGCCAAAATGGACGCTGCGTCTTTTAACGAGGAATTCATATGGAAGGGCAAGGCCGTTGTCGTAATATTCCCCACGTCGTTCCTATTCTTTACGGCACTTAATCGGCTGGTCAGTCATTACACACCTGAGAAATGCGCCGGATACCCAGATCGCTGGACAGCTTACGTTATATCCTGGCTACATGCTATTCTGTTTGGCACTCTGGCCTTGATACTGTGAGTGACATGTGGTCAAATTTTAATATACCAGTTCTTTTCTTACTCTGTTTTTGTTCAGATAGAATCCTTATTAGTTGTTCCTCATACTATTTATCTATCTATTTATTTGTTCAATCTTTTGTATTTTTATATACCAGTATCTACTTATCTGTACTGTGGTTGTTCACCTCTTTATGTAGTAATTGTAAGGTCTTTGGTAGGAACCGATGTATAACAATAGTGCTGTAACTCCTTGATCAGACTAAGCACAAAACTAGCTCATAGGCATGTAAAAGAGCGGTCACTTGGTCCTGTGGATAGTTGAATCGACAAAAACAATTAACTTGACCAAAGTACTATATAATGCCTTGTTTGGTTTATACATTTGGCTTTCTTATATCAAGGAGTTGTAACTCCTTGGTCTGATATGCGTCTTGGTCATCCATGCAAAACAATAATGACAATACAGGCGAAACTGAACCATAAATTACGTTTGGCATGCATGGCTGTACGATGATAGTTTACTACCCATTTATGTCTCTTTTTAGTCGGCACCCTTGCGGAAGCAGGCAGTGGCCGTGTGAAATCGTTCGGATTCACGTTTTCCGTAGCCTCTACGGTTTTGTTAACCCGAAACTTTTTACTTTTGATAAAAAAAATTTAAAAAAAAATAACCTAGCCTGTGGGTCTTTAGCAATGTCGTAGATGATATTGCACGGTTTTCGTACGGGCACGGGTATTGCTCGGTGGACTTGCGGCTACCGTGATGATGCGTAAAACTGTTAATTGTATTTTACCTCCCCCTCCTTGGCTTTGGAGACCTAACAATAGTGAAGACGACATGAAAAATACGCAGTGTAATTCACTTGTATGAAATTGAAGTTGTGAGTCTACTTAGGGACCACTCGCACTAACTGTGGATCGATCTATCTCCGAAGGGATTCTCGCTAAATTGCAATCAGGTTAAGCGGCTTAGATGTCTGTCACACCTACTGAAGCAACCAGGGGTTAATTGACTATCTTTTGAGCAGCTTCAGTAGGTGTGCCAGACATCTAAACCGCTTAAACTGAAAGCGATTTAGCGAAAAACAGCTCGGAGATGGATCGATCTTGTTAGGTATGGGAACCCAGTCTTATTCTGACCATAAGAGGGCAAAAATATAAGGGGGCTACACTGACAACGTATCGTACGCACTTAAAAAAAACACATGGAGGGCGAACGAAAACTTCACTGAGACAGGTCTCCGTATTATCTCTTTCCATCGACGAACCAAAATAAGATATGGTTTGCATCCGTACTGAATGTTAACATACTCGCTGTAGCCCGTAAACACTACTTGAAAACATTGTAAAGAAAAGTCGCACGGAAATCGTATTCAATTTCATCGGACGGCGCCTGCGGCAAATGTAATTATGCGAGGTTTCAGTTCGGAGAAGTTTTGTTCATCCATTATTGATCATTATTGGTGGAAGACTCTCGCGAGGTTTAAGCCGATTTGCACTTTTTAGCACTGAGGTGTCTTTAGTAGCCGTCGCTGGTTATCCAGTATGCCAGTAAGGTAAGATAGGGCGTGTCCTTGGTGTCATGTGACTAAATATTGAGCAAATATGGCCCGCTTACCTCACATAAAATAATTTGTTATTAAATTTAATTTGTTTTAAGGGTCTTGACAGGCCGCGAGTGGTTTGAGAGCTCTCCCTGGGCGTTCTATTTACACTGTATGTCAGTAGGTGAGTGATATTCACGTGTAGGCCTATAGGTTGATCTTGAAAATACCTTTAAGTTCTAAGGCATGTTATGTTATTGTGACTACACGGGTATCTGATGTGCATTTATATTAGTATAGTATATAGGCTACCAGTAATTGTTAGTTATATTCATGACTGGTAAATTTCAAAAACGGCGAGCAAAGGTGAACATTCAAAGATATCGTTGTTTTCAGGATATTTTGCCTACGATTCTGTTGCTCTGGCAATAAGTAAGGAACAAATAGGGAGTTTCGATGTTTACGCGCATCATGTCTTGGTATGCTCTCTTTCCTTCTCTCTCTCTCTCTCTCTCTCTCTCTCTCTCAAATTCATCATCTAATTAGACACTCGACTACGTATTTATGTAATGAAAGTATTATCCAGTATGGAAAAAAGACAGAAAGAGAAAAGGGAATCAGTAGTTTCGTAAATGGTCTGAAAGGTTTACTTCTATAGGTTTTTTCAGTATCTGAGGGCCTATACATGACGGGGAGTGGGGCGTGTGATGCTAAACAATTCTCATGGACAGCGGGAAAACAGTTGCTCCAAAATATCACTATGGGTTCTTTTAACAAAGTTAATCAAATGATAAAGAATTCCTTTATAAAGATATATTGTTTGAGATGTAAAGCAATATTTTCTTTTATTCTAGTGTATCTTCTTCGGCACGGCTGTGCAGTTCCCCCCATGTGATCGAGCCACCTTCTACGCTCTTTGGAATTACCTGTGTGAGATAAGCAATGTCTTTCTGCACGGAAGAAAACTTATAGCGATGTTGGGGCGAAGAGAATCGACGTTGTACAAGAGGCTTAATATGTTATATTTCGGTAGGTATATTTCGATATTTTTAAGATGATTTTAAGATGGTTAAGATGACTTGTGCAAGAAATTACGGTATAGTATCAGATATAATAGTCAAAGTCAGGATAGGTATCGCAAGATGCTATTTTGACATCACGCCCCTTTAATTCGAGCGGTGTACTTAACTGGGTCCCTTTAAAGGAGTAGCTGCACTCAGCATGCTCAATTTATTAAATTGCAATACCAGGAAGCTGATGTGTGCAGAACTTGATTGTAATGTTGTGGCAACTTTTGGTCATATTCCATTCAAAATTTAAATTATCCCTAATACTTAATTATTTCCATTTCCAGTTACGTCCTTCATCTTCCGCTTCCCCCCTCAACTCCTCGTCTTTGTGATGATGAACGTTGACACGTGGTACACTGGCCAACTGCCGATGATTTGTTACGTCAGCGCCATCCCGCAGCAAACAATCGTGCTTCTGATTGGAGTAAATATCGCATATGAAATATTGAAAAGGACAAGACGTGACCTCAAGAAAGTGACTTCTGATTGACGAGTGAATGGGAACAAGATACCCTGAGTGTCAAGGCACAGTAAAAGCTAGCTTGTTAAATATTAAAATATACCTTGTGATGGGGTCGCTTTTTTCGATATGGGTTATATATGAAATCAAGATCGAGCTGGCAATACGGAAATCTAGAACCTAGAGTAGAACAAGATGACTCGTGCCCTAAAAAGATAACATGATATAAAACCACATGATAAGGATAACTGATAAATGTGTCATCAAATCAACACAGCGCTACTTTGATTGAAAAGACATTTATACATATTTATTTTTCTGATTCGTTTTACAAATTTATGCGGTAGACTTGCTTGTACCATTATTTCAAAATTTTCTTTTCAGTGTTTTTGTGTAACGACTAGACAGGAACAAATCCATGCGGGTGACTGATGAAAAACAACACGTAATTGTGATTTGGTTACCTACACGGCTGCTTTGATTTTCAACTGTTTAGAAATTTCTAAAAATCCATAGAGATTCTTTAAGGTTCTTTAATTCACAGCAGTTTTGCTAGCATCCACAACTTTTGTGTACTGAATGTAAAACTGTCTAATGACAAGACATGTGGGTGACAAAAGAAAACCGAGACGGCATTGTAAGTCTATATGCAACGAGTTGCATTTATGACATCTAATGGTTACATAACGTTATGCTCTGGTTTATAGACATGGCACTGTTGGATTGCTTGAATAATTTTCATAACGGGTTCGTGCGCACTCGCGCGCACGCACACACACACACACACACACACATACACACACAGAGAGAGAGAGAGAGAGAGAGAGAGAGAGGGAAAGAGAGAGAGATAACGAAAAATACTAGGACGGTGACAGATGAAGAGGGAGTGCTTTATTTATCCATGTTTCACACCAAATCTCATTCCTTCAAAATAAAATATGCATCTCTTAAATTGGACCAGTATAGCAATTCTATTAATTTACTTTTACCATCCGTGTTTTGTTTTTGAAAAATTATTCATCAGGCAAATCCCAAAATTGCCTGAAAAAATCTCATCTCCTAATTTTTTTTTATTTCAAAGCGGTCCAAAATGGCTGGAGGGATTTTTAGTGTCGTAGAAGTAAGCCACGCATGCCTCGACGTATTCCGCTTTTTCTATAACTCCATTGTGGTTTGCATCAAGAAATTTGAATGACTTGCTAACAGCCTTATCATCTTGAACGTTGAACACTTTGAGTAAGGGTTTGTGCTCTTCGGGAGTAAGCACATCATTTGTATCAGTATCGGTATCGGCTGCTTCGAAGCATCCTCTTGCCCACAGCCTCAAATCCCCAGCCAAGTGCTCGTGAGTTGCCACGCGTGTGGCAAGATCATCGAGATCTGAGAGGTCAAACGTCGATATGTACCCATTTTCAGGAAGTGCCGCAAAGTCTGTCCACGCTTCCGCCAACGTGTCCTTCAACGCTTTCCCTTGCTCTCTCCCCAGATATTTATCGGCTCTTTCACTTGCCAAATCAACGTATTCCCTTCGGGTTATGATTCCATCGGAGTCAACATCAAGGACTTTCAAAAATCTTCGCATTTTGTCGAACCAGTGTTTATTTCCCTTAGGCTCATCCTGTAATGATATTTGTTACATCGGATCATTATCAGAAAAATGCACTGCTCATATAATCAGGTTTGTTCCCCGAGACAATTTAGAGTGTTAAGGAGGAGGTTGAAGCCTTCAAAAGACAAAAAGATCCCTAACAGACCCCACTCCCCGTGTCTAAGGCCCTGTTCCGACCATTGAGCTGTCAAACACATTTCTACAAATTTTGGATGCTTCAAACTCCGAAAAATTCTATCAGATAGATGTGCAAGTTATTCGTAAGAAAAAAGTACCACATTAAAATCTTCTTTAACCTTTTCTTTGCCAGTTGCAGGTATGTCAACCAAGTGGCTTCTTCCATCAGGTAAACCCTGAAATGTAGGTTGACACGTTGGGTAGTTGGACCATACAAAATTGATAAACTGGTGACTCTTTGTATACAGCATAGATAGATGGAATGCACTTATGTTTTCAAATATGTTTCAGGTGCATGTTTAACACGTGTATAGCAGGTAAATCTCGAGATTGGTCAGTATTATTTGGTTTCAGTTTAAATTTAGGGAGATTTCAAATCAACGTCACAGTGGGCAGCATTTAAAGACAACAGCAAGGTTTTTCCAAGGTCAAGTTGTAATTTCTTCCTCACTTAATAAACCAATACCTAGTACATTTTTTACATTTGAAAAAAAAATGAATAAATACTACTGTATGTGCACAAGAAATTTTGATCCCCCCCCCCCCAAAAAAAAAGAATAAATAAATAAATAAATAAAATAAAACACGGTCAATCGTGCTCTTTAATCAGTTTATCAGGTCTGTGTGGCCTAAAAATGTATATATACATTCTGTTCACTGACAGTCTGTGAAACAACCCTGCATCTCTACGTGGTATATTTTAGACCCTGTAAAATGGAAAACCTATACATATGCGTATTCTATACAGAGGGACAATCATGACGACTTTGCTTAGTATTCATACATTCAGCATGTCATATATAGTATCTTAAGAAGTCCATTATTAAAGATCAAAAGCAAAATAGGAATTAAAGCACTTACCAGCGGGCTTCTACTTCGTTTTAATGTTAGCTCTCTTCTATTTGAATCATCTGGTAGACCTAAAACAATTCTAATAAAAACCACCGGTATAAACACAAACACAAACTGTTGCAAATACATTATCAGCTGACTGAAAAAGAAAGAAATTCGGCGGTTTGTGTGTCACTAAATGATGATCATCCCAAGACCAGCCGTTTTATGGCAATTGGGGACTCCAGCTACTATCCAATCACGTTCGAGAACGTAATCAGCGGTGGGTGGAGTTTATCAGACACTTGCGATGAAAGTGAGCCCGTATGCTCTTTTTAAACAAGCGTGTTCACATACATACACACAAAGAGAGAGAGAGGGAGAGAGAGAGCATTTAAACATTATGGAATATGGGAAAGTGTTTTAGTTTTTTAAATTTTATTTCGACCCCGCAACCCAACATAAACAAAGAAATGCAATGGGTATTGGTCTGATAAATGGAGGAATTTCACAATGGAGAATAAAACTTAAATTTGTCTGGCCTTATTTACGGCTGCTTTGCATGACTTTCCACGAAAGTGCTCTTACATTTAATATAAATACAAACAAAAAGCAGGAGTTTCGTATTTCTTTCTTTACAGTATTTCTGTGTAACGACTAGACATGTACATGCAGACATGAGTTGTTTGAAAAAAAAAAAGGGTTCTAGTCTCGGCTGCTTTTCTTTTGTCTTTCTCTTTTCACAGCAGTTTTGCAAACTTTCACGACTTTTGTACACCAAATGAAATTTTGTGTATCGACAAGACATGCGGGTGGCAGATGAAAATCAGCACGTAAGTGTGATTTTTAAACCTATGTCCCGTATTTATGCTTATATATTTATCAGTCTCTTCAATATCGTTATATGGTGCATTATACTTTCATTTATTTATTTATCAAAACACAAAATAACAATATAAGGTACAACACATAATTGCAATACAAGACCCTTATTAAAGGTTTTTATAGAAGTGCCATTGTTGATTGTTATGAATCTTTTTATAATACGTTTATCGACAGGGCGACAATGATCTTTCAATTATGCTTTTCAACTGCAAAGTAAATTCTGCACGGGGAATAGAGGCTGACTCCCAATCTCTTGCCACAATTAGGCAAAGGGAGGCAAAGGCAACGAGTTCTGAGAGTTTCAACGCCATGACTGTCAATGCTATAAGAGATTCTCTTGCAAAAGTTCTCTCTCATTGGCTAAAAATTCACGAATCAAAGCCTCGATATTTTCTTCACTGCGAGCCACTTGTTTCTCCATGGTCAACCGAAAATCTTCCTTCACTCCTTTGTTGACACCCCTTGTAACCGTTCGTTGTCTGGAAAAGAAAACTGAATAAATTAAGACAGTTGAGAGGGATTCGATAAAGTTCATGCTGATTATGTAAATAAAACGAAACATTATTTTGGCATCTCTTGCCACATTAATTAGTACGGATATAATAAATGCAACTTTGCTTGATAATGTCGTTTAGGCCCTACCAGTGATATGTACATGTAGTTAGCACCGGTCGAGCAGTAATCAATTAGAACATCACTCTTAATTATCTACTACCCCCGGTCCCACTCTTGAACATTAATGAGCTGAATCACCCTAGATATTGTTTCACTTCATATAAAAAACTCGCGAAACACCAACACGCAGCCAACGCAAGTGAATGTCTAAACCACAAGCGGGGAAATCTCTCTAGCAAAACTGGGATGAGTCAGAAGGCCGTGATGTTTTTTCTCTTTGCTTATTGCATAACAAGTAACGCTGGAAATTCCGGCTGTATCGAAACAGCTCTTCCCAGCTCCTGAACCTACAAAAACTATATACTGGAAATCCCAAGCTTAGAAACTGAGTCAGTGGCGTATGCACTGTAAATAGAAAGTAGACTTCAAGCCAGGCCATAAATAGCCAGCGTATATAAAGGCAAGTCACGCTGGGAACTCTCAAAGAATCAGACAGGCTGCAAGTCACATACACAGGTATCGGAGGTATTGGGATAGAAACCGCATTGACCGGCCAGTACAATTTCTCTGAAGGTTAGTGAGGCATAGGGAGCAACCGTTTCTAAGTTAAAGGACAAAGGAGTTAAAAAAAGACCGGCACCTTATTATGAGTTCATATAACATCATTGGCTTTACGGTATTAATACTGAAAGAGTGTTATTTTTGAAAGATCTAAAGGACTAAAGAACTCAATAGCGTTAAATTGACACGATTCTATGAAAACTGCTCTTGTCAAAAACATCAAGGAACAGGGGCAGAAGGGGCGAGGGGCAAAACATTCCTCCTCAGAGGTCGCAGACAATAACTACCAAGCGCAGTAAGTATGCCATCATTTTCCCCATAGACACAGATGTGATCGCTGTGCTGTGCGAAACATCACGTGAAGGTCGTTCACGTTTAGAATGCCAGCACTGCTGCACTGTACAGACCTTCTCACATCAAGCGGTAGTCTTCAAAGACACAGACTGCACTAGTGTATTTTGAGAAAACCTACCATGTAACTACATTTTTTTTTTACGTTTTCCTCACCCTGACTTACTGTGGAGCTACATAGGAGGTGGGTGCCCCGTTTAGGTGACTCTCTAGAAGCTGCCAACCACTCAGAGTGTACCAGTGTAGATTGTGCAGTTTCAGTATACCACTAGATGTGAAAATGACCTTAAATGTATTCCAGCGTTTCTCCTGACCTAGATCTTACACTCACAGTAGGCTAAGAATATCTCGGTGTTGCTTCCCTAGCCCCTCTCTTTCTGTTTCGCTGTGAGCAGTTACTGCATTAAATTGTAGACCAAATCTTTCTTACCTCCTATCTACGGCTGTTTTTTTAACGACCTACTTTTATGGCAAAACAGACACATCTCATTAGTACGGCGAGTTAAGGTGCATTTCCAGCCCAACTGTGACGCCTCATTTTAAAACATGCTGCATAGGCCTCATTCAGAAAAGGGGACTAACTAGTCCGAGGGTCAAATATGGCCGACCCACTTGAATACTTCCCCACGGGGTATCTATTCAGTGTCTATTAGCGAATTAGACGGCAAGCTTTGTAGCCATATTTGACCCTCGGACTAGTTAGTCCCCTATTCTGAATGGGACCATAGGAGACAAACTACTCCGAGAGTCAAATATGGACGACCCACTTGCATTCATCCCCATGGGATATCTATTCAGTGTTTATTAGCGGATCAGACGGAAAGCTTTGTCGTGGGTCGCAATATTTGACCCTCAGACTACTTATATAGTCTCCTATTCTGAATGGGGCCATACAGTCCTTATAAACGGATTAGGCTTTTATTAACAATGCCCGCAGATCTTTTAGCACTAACGCACATATTAACCATATAACCCACAAATTAACCAGCACTACCAGACGGATGAATGTTAGTGCTAGTTATTGCTTTGTTGGTGCTAAATAATTTTACGGTGTGTTGTTTGGCAATGTGTACTGTCAGTAAATGAAATGTGGCTTCCAGGGGTGGGTGGGTGGGTGGGGGGTCATTACATATTCTGCACTTCTTGACCATGCAGATTGCTAGGCATGCTAAGCATACAGTAATCACAGAGCGCATTCAGAACAGCAGATTAACAGATCTGCGGATCAAATATGGCCCACCCACTCGAATGCTTGTTGCGTACTCCCACAGGGAATCTAGTCAGTATCTAATCAGGAATTAGGCAGCAAGCCTTTTAGTGGGTCGCCTTATTTGATCCGCAGATCTGTTAGTCTGCTGTTCTAAATGAGCTCACAGTCTGCTGGAATAGATCAAAACCGCTATATTCTAAGCCCAACATAAGTGCCATAAATTTTGCCTCTTCTTACCACACATTTTGTAATGTCATATTTCAGTCCACTGTTAGCAAAGTAACAATGTAGAAAAAATCCTGCGTTTCAGAACATGGATGCGACTCCTACGGTGAAAACTTGTGATTTCCTAAAGTCAACAACCATTCTGGAACAACAGACAGAAATCGATCGGCTGCTGACAGAGTTAAATGATTTGGAAACCACTGGGACACGAATGTCACAATCCAAGTACGTCAATGAAGACTGGAAAAGAAACAAGCGATGCCAAGCAAAGAAAAGCCTTGCCCTAGCCCATACACTTATTGCCTATCAGCGTGATCCAATTTCTGAGGGTCTTCTCTATTACGACAACAGCCGTAAAGCATACCAAGACTTGCAAGACGTGACCAATGAGGGGAAAGTTGCATTAATAATGGGACAAATATTGTATAAGCACGAGAGATGGTGGCCAGCCAAAGTGTACTTCTTAAGCAGCATCCGTCTTCTCATGTCCAAAATAGAGTCTGGGGATTATTCTGAGAAAGAGAAGCAAATTTTTGTATGTGCACTCAAAGGTCTTGCCAAAACTTTGTTCTCTATTGGTCTCGCATTCAAGTTCACCAATGCCGTGCGGCTGATGGAGTTGTACTCGAAGCATGAAGTGGACGATCCCGAAGTACTGCTATGTCTCAGCCTTGCCCACGCAGTGAATGCTATGCTCAAATCTGATCACAGACGCCAAAGTCAGGTGAAGGACAACATAGAACAGTTCCAAATATGTATGGAACAAGCTTGCGAAATTGGAGACATGGATTACGAGCTTGCCATAGCTCTGATAATCAAAGAAAGATTTTGCCATGGCAATATGTACGAGGAAGCCATGGCACACATAGACCACTGCTTTATCCATGCCACAGAACATGGTCATGACATACAGGCGGAACTCATCTGTGCCATGACAAGCATATTCCGGACTGTCTTAGCCCATGACAAGTTTGAACAGACCAACGCACTGGCCATGGACTACATTCAACAATCCTCCCGTCCAAACAAGCGCTGCCAAATTAAAGTTTTCCTTGGCAGACATATTGTGTCTATAAAACACTTTCGCACCCATCCACAAGAAACCAACATTGTAACATCAGACGACATAGAAAACAATAAAATGGCAGAGGTGGCCCTCGGTATGGCAAGAGAGATTGTCGATCCAATACTCACTTGTACACTTCTGAAAAACCTGGGAATGGCTTACATTAGAGTGGCGCACTTGACCACAGAACCAACAAAGATACCTGAAAGATCTCACCTGATCGAGAAAGCAGGGCAATATCTCTGTGAAGCGGAGGGCTACGCAAAGATGTACAGGCAAAAACCTCTTATGGCGCAGATTGAGACACTATTGCTGTTTTATAATATACTGAAGACAAATCAATTTGATAAGCTACCTGACAATGTGGTTGAGACAATAACAAAACAGGTTGAGGAGTATGATACTTATACATCAGAGTTCAAATCGGTGCCTTTTAGGTACAATCCTCATGGCATTCTTGCTAGGGTCTACACACTAGCAAACAAGTGCCCTGAGAAGGTCATTCCACACATCAAGCATGACTTAGAAACCAGTAGTTTGGTCATGACTGGAGACGACAGCTTGAATAGGTCCATTTTAAAAGCTAACAAAATCACCTTCCAACTATTCAACATCTTGCACGCGTCACACATACCAGATGAAGACAGAGTAAGTCAAGGCCTGGAACTCCTGGAAGCGGGGCGTGCCCAAGCATTCTTGAAGCTACTGCATCAAAGACACCATGACTTCAACCAAACCCTTTCTGACCCTGGAAAGATGTCATATGAAGAGATCGCTAACAGCCTTCGGACAAGGGGACTTCCCACCTTGATCTACATGTATCAGCCATATGACAAACACTCTTCCTGTGTAACCTACAATGGCAAATACATTGGCTTGACTTCACTTCAACTTCCTGATGGCGGCTACTCAGTGCTCCAGAGAGCTATAGTAACAGTCAGAAATGCAGTGGTACGAAACCATAAAACAGCAGAAGGACGGGCAGTTGAATTGAAGTCTCTGCAAGAAATGTCCCCCTTAATGCCCAATGATGTGATTGAAAAAACTGATGAGACAGCTTTTGCCAGTGACGAGACCAGTCCATTCTTCACAGGAGCAGGTTTAGAAGATGCCTCTGTTTTAAAAACTGAAGAAGAGACGTCCATCTCCATGGAATGGCCTGACACGCGCTGTAAAATACCAGATTTCGAAGAAGATGATTATAGCAACAACAACACATATTCAGCTCTTCATTGCCTCTACTCCTCTTTGATCAAACCAATGGTAGACCGCATAGAATGCCAAGTCACCAACGAGCTCCTTGTCATCCCCATGGATGAGTTGTTTCTTGTCCCTTTCACAGCCCTCCAGGATGAAGACGGCAAATACTTAGGCAATAAGTACCAAGTAAGACTTACGCCTAGCATTCAAGCTCTTGATCTTGTATCAGCCAAAGCCAATCAAGACTCTGGACACAACCCAACTTGCCTATTAGTAGGCAACCCTGATGTTGGAGAAATTGCTGGGAAGGTCATCCCATCTCTCCCCTTTGCTGAGAAAGAAGTCAAGTTGATTGCATCCTGGTTGAACACTGAGCCCCTCGTTGGGAAACAAGCTACCAAACCTGCTGTGCTTTCCAAAATGGTCGGTGCCACTCTGATTCACATTGCCACACATGGTTCCAGCAAAGATGGCTCTTTGATTTTTGCTCCTGATTTGTCTCACAGTCCTAACAAGTTCACATCCTCACACATGGTCCAAGACCCCAAAGAAGATGCATTGCCATCCCCAAATATGGCTTCAAGCTTCAGTGGGGCCTTGACCCAAAGTCGCTCACCAAAAGTGGAAGACTGCATTGTCACCATTGAAGATGTGATGTCCCTGAAGCTTGAAGCAAAGTTGGTGGTTCTTAGTGCCTGTAACACTGGACGTGGTGACATCTCCGCTGATGGTGTGTTTGGAATATCCAGGGCCTTCATGGCTGCTGGTGAGTAATAATATGTAATATGTTTACACACACACTCACACATACAGAATACCTAGTAAAGTGGTTCTATGTATTTCCCAACATCTACCATCTCTCTCTCTCTCTCTCTCTCTCTCTCTCTCTCTCTCTTCAGATCATATTTGACATCACAACTCATCATTAACACTCCATTTTCCAGGTGCCCTCTCTGTCCTCGTTACCCTGTGGGCAATCCCTGATGAAGCAACCAAAATCTTTATGGAACATTTCTACTCCCACCTCAAGGCTGGCGACACCGTCAGCAGAGCCCTGCAGTCAACAAGGATTGCCATGCAGCAAAATGACAGATTCAGCCACCCTATGAACTGGGGGTCATTTCAGCTCATTGGAGACAACCCTCGGCTTTTCCCAAAGGGAATACAAACTTAAGAACAATCATCTCCTTTACACTGTGGACAATGTACTCTTTTCTTTAGGAACTAGATTAATAGTCGAACACACTGGACACATTTCTTGGTTATTTTCCTAAAGGAGTAAAGAATTGGAAACATTCTACATTAATAAGAATTTTTCACTTGTAAGAGGGTGGTCAAATTTTCATTACTATTATTATTTTCATTCTGTTTAGTTGTTTGAAAATTGCAGGTATACCGATGAGCTTTGTTTAGTTTATATGCGTGCATGTGTGTGCATGCATGTGTGTGAGTGTGTGTGCATGGAGCGTGCCCTCCTAATTGTGTTATTACTAAATTGTCTATTTTTGTTTATTTCATAATGACACTGGGCAATCAGTTTGGTGCCTGTAAGTAGGCTGTAAAGTTAAATTTGTTACACTGTTAAAATTACAGGTTCAATAATGATTATTATGAATATTTGGGTTTTCTTGTACATGGTATATGTCCTATGGATTTTGTTGTTATCTTATTTGTTTAATATTTGTTTTATCTCTCATTCTGTACTCACTGTGCAATCAGCTTGGTACTTGTAGGCAAGATATCCAGATTCAGTTTTCCTCCATCGTGTGACTTTATATAGGCAAACTCCTCCAGGATGTCTATATCTGATTCAGCGGGTTAGGGATTTGTGCCTTGGATAGCAAGAAAATTAAACCTAAAACTGGATCTTGTGTGGAAACTGAGAGCACTACTGTGGCCTGATGATTACTTACTTCCACAACTGTGAGACCTGGGAGACCTGTATTTGCCACATGACACTTGTAACAACTGCAAATCAGTTCACCTGAAGTTCCAAGGCCTTGTGATAAAGTCATTGTGATCTGCATTTCAATAAAAGATCCAGTTTTAGATTTAAATTTCTCATTATGTTAGAAGAATATAACTGGATGGATCAAAGCATTCACTTTGATTTCTGCCTTGGTTTAAATAACTTAGCAAATAATTACTGGGTGGATTAAGACCATCATATCTTGTGAAAGATCAGAGTTCCCCTGTCCTTAAAGCTTTTCATGGTTTTCCCAGATTAAGCCAAGAATATGACTTGTATGAATACAAATCTTTTTGCTCTTTTCACTTTTTTGATCATGCAAGTATGATGTTTTTTGAAAGTGTAGTTTCAGAGTTCAAATCAAAACAAGAATGAATTATAGCTCAATATACTTTGCATTATCTCTTCTGAAAGGATACTTATGATGTAGTTGAAGAATAAATTGTATGTAAAACACCCTTGAGCCTTGATCTTTTCTACAGCTTGCAAGAGGAGAGCCTCATGTTTTGGCCAATCATATTGTAGGAGAACAAGCATGTGACCCAAGGCCATGTCATCATTGGATGATGGTGAAAAGGCTTTTTCCTGAAATAAAATATATATGTGTAGTTTACTATAAAAGAGAGAGAGCAAGCACATTTCAAAGCATCATTTTTAAGTAGAATTTTTGAGAAGATGCATTCAATACAAAGAGCCATTATAATAATAGGGATAAAATTTATAACATTATTTCAACAACAGCAATTCTTTTAAATCAAATTCACCAATAATAATAATAATAATAAAAATAATAATAATTCTGAATTACGGATGTGCAGTGTATTGCATGTGTGAAGAAAAAAAAAGTGAAATACAGACCTTGCAACATGCCAATAACATGTGAAGACAATATGGCATTATTTCGGATGATGTACAACGAAGCAAATTCATGTGGCGCCCCCTACCAGAGTGTACTATTTCTTGGAGCTGTGAAGGTGTGCTAACATCTGAGAAAGCCATATCACCAAGAATACCCAAAACTACATCACAACACTTCTGAAATATGGAACAACTTTTTCATCATTTCAAAGCCAATTTTTTTTAATATGGAAAGATCATCGATCTCAGCATTGAAATATTTATTCTAAAATTAAACATTTCAACTGAAAAAAAATTGTCAACTTACTGCTAAATTTCCCTGGCAAAAGTAACAGCTCGCTAACTGAAGATTTGTGCGGAGCTTGAAAACAGAAAAAACAAATTGAGTCACATATTATGGAGATATACTGGCCATCTATTGGGGTCAGCCGAGAAAGAAGTAAATTTAGTAAAGTTGAAATTAAATTAAACTAAACTGGACAATATAGGATATGGGTAATTAAAGCTATTCTTACGATAAAACTTCTCAAGCCTGAGAATAACTCTATCTCTTTACAACAGTAGGATCTCATAGCCATGTAACCTACACCAGTAAAGAAATACTGAATTATGTTCCCAAGTTTATATAAAGTAAGATATCATCACTGCCATCTTTAGATACTGTAGATGAAAATAATAATTGTGTTATCTTAAACATTTGTAAAAGAAGGGGGAGTTTACACAAATGTCTTAAAAAAACTTAAAAACAAATGAATGGATACACTGAAATGATGTATCGATTAGTGCATTTAACGTGACTAAATTAGCTAACTAAAGTTATTACAATCAATTCTACCTTAGGGTCCTGTTTCTGAACCAACAACAAGTTGACAGCTTCTCTGTAACTGCCTTGGTACATCAACATGTCCACCTCAAACATCTTCAACCACGCCCACGTCTCTGCTTTTAGATGACTGTGCAGCTTCTTAAAGTCTGGAAATGTAATTACAAGGCTATAAAATATGCTCTAATACATTAATATATGTCGTTTTCATTTCATTTTACCTGCAGTAAGTACCTTCAAGTATGCATGGAAATAATAATTTCAATTGGTATGTTTTAGAATCTTTTATTTTCATCTCTTAATTGCAAACAGCTTTGAGATTGATTTGGCCTAGGTAATAATGCATTAACTTATCATTATTCCCATCATCATCATAATTACTTTTATTATCATTATTATTATTATTAAAGATGCTCGTTGTACAAAAAACAAACTTATCTATAAATGTCACTAATTATACTTATAATGAGCATCTTTAAAGGACAACTCAGTGGGTTAGATTAATGTATAAAAGCAGGTTCTATGTAAAACTTTGATCAGATTTGTGTTTTGGGAGATTGTTTATTATTATATGAATAAGTCTGGGTCACAAAAGTCCTGTTAAGACAACTAGAATAAAGAATTAGAAAACGAAAACTATTTATCATGATTTCGGAGCACAGCCAGAAGTACTTCCGGCTCAAGGTCACGACCTCGATTTTCCCACGCTTACGACCAATCACAGCAGGCAGAATGAAATAGACGTCACGACTACACAGCGAAACTTGTCAGACATGTAAGTGCCGCCTGTCCATCTTTTCGGTACATGTACCGATCAAAAACAGAAAACGTAAAGCCCAAAACGCTCTTATACACGTAACCAACTTTGTATGAGCACAAATATTGTCATTTATTGTGAACAGGATAATATGATAATCAGACACACTTGAGACCTGTGAAGCGCATACTCACGTGTCGAGGAGTAGTTTCGCCATTGCCTCCTATGTGAGTCCTAACTCAGCTTTAAGTGTCCTCCACCGCCCCACCTCCCTCCCAACATACACAGTCTGAGTGCTTCTTCGTCTGTCTCTAATTTTCTTTCGTATCTTTCGAACTGGAGTGGCTATTTTCTTT